TCCTCCTCCTCCTCCTCATCCTCCTGTCCCTCAGCCTCGGCATCATCCTCATCCTTATGCCGCTCATCAGCGTCATCATCGTCCTCGCCCTCCTTCTCGTCGTCGTCGTTGTAATCATCATGTTAGTCATTCCCGTCGTCCACCTCAATCCTCCTCCACCTCAATCCTCATCTTCCTCCTCCCGGTCCTCCTCCTGTTCCTCCTCCTCCTCCTCCTCCCGCTCTCCTTCTCCTCTCCTCCTCCTCCTCCCCTCCTCCCTCCTCCTCCTCCTCCTCCTCCTCCTCCTCCTCCTCCCTCCTCTCCCTCCCTCCTCCTCCTCCCTCCTCCTCCTCCTCCTACCTCCTCCTCCCCTTCCTCCTCCTCTCTCCTCCTCCTCTCCTCCTCCGCCCCTCCTCCGCCTCTCTCCCCGCCTCCTCCTTCCTCCTCCTCCTCCTCCTCCTCCTCTCCTCCTCTCCTCCTCCTCCTCCCTCCTCCTCCCCCCCCTCCTCCTCCTCCTCCTCCCCTCCTCCTCCTCCTCCTCCTCCTCTCCTCCTCCTCATCATCTCATCATCATCATCATCATCATCATCATCATCATCATCATCATCATCATCATCATCATCATCATCATCATCATCATCATCATCATCATCATCATCATCATCATCATCCTCTCCGAATCACCCGATCCACGTTCTCATCATCGTCATCATCCTCATCGGTTCAAGCGGCTGCCACCGACAATGCTGAGCTGGCACGGTGGCGGAACGTGCCGCAGGCAGCTGGATAATAACGTCATCACCTTCTACAGCGTGGACGACATTGCTTTCCCAGGCAACGTCGCTTTTTATGGTCAGCTTGTCACCTGGATGGAACCCTTCGTTCGACTCAACCACGAGCTTGCTTGTCCCAGGTTCTGTGAGAATCGTCGGTGACAAGGATCGACCCTCTGAGGTCCCTCCAGAGATTTTCGCGCGAGCCGACGCAGCCAAGGCACCCGCTCTCTCGGTGACGGCGGCGGCATGCGGCCCAGCGAAGATGTAAGCCACTAGCAGGCAGCCCACGCAGCACACCACGATCCCGAAGAAGACACTGAACATACCCAGCGCACCAATGGACGCCTTCTCCTCCTCCTCCTCCGCAGCAGCAGCAGCAGCTTCGCCAGGGTGGATGATGACGACTCTGGTGCCCTGCGGCGGAGGCGGAGCGACGACTCTGCTGCTGGTGCCCTGCGGCGGAGGCGGAGCGACGACTCTGCTGCTCGCCGTCCCGGAGGGGGTCACTGCGCCGCCGCTGTCAACGGCGCCCCCGTGGGGGGCGGGAGCAGGGGCTGGCGCCAAGGCAGGCGTGGGGCCCGGCGTGGGGGCAGACGTGGGGGCCGGCGTCGGGCGTGGCGTCGGGCGTGGCGTCGGGCGTGAGGTCGGGGCCGTCGTGGGTGAAGACGTCGGACGTGACGTCGGGGGCGACGTGGGGGGCGGCGTGGGGAAAGGATGGACGCTCGGCAAGATGCATGGAGAGCCCAAACAAAGAACCTGACCCACCAACCACCAACCAGGAGAGCTCGGGGGTCTGGAGACGAGGGGAAGAAGAGAGAAGCAGATGTATGTGTACGTGCATCTCTGTGGAATATCTATATATATATATATATATATATCTGTACATTTGATGATCAGGGAGGGGAAGGTGCGGCAGGTGGACCAGGTGCTTCGCTCCCGCTCCCCAGATGACCACGCTTGACTTAGGATAGGACCGCGAGACCGGCCGCTGCAGCACTAGCGTGTTCTCGGCCTGCAGGAGAACCACACGGGCCTGCTCGCTGACTTCGGGGTTGACGGAGTTGTCCAAGAGTACAATCGTGTTTCCCGCCTGCAAGGGTTCCAACTGCACGCCAGCACCAAAAACCAGGTGAAGCCCGTCCTGAGCCCAGGGTCAACATCAGGACCGTCCTGGGCCCAGTGGGTGCCACCGAATTTGGAGGTGGTGAACGGCTGGCGCCCACTGCACTACCACCACCTCAAAGATGTTCGGGTTCTGCACTTTCACGAGGTGGCTGCCTTTCTTCAGGTCGTCTGTGGTGAGGGTCCCCTGGTCAGCGAGGGCCCTCGAGCCCACAGATGCCAACGAGTGAACCGACCTCTCCCGGGCACCACTCTGCGGAGGGCCCCGCAGTGTCGTCCTGACGGCTGTCGCCGCCGCGGCGGCGCAGGCCAACGCCAAGGCCGCCAACACGACGGAGGCAGACCTCGAGAGTGACCATCTGGCGTGCCTTGGCGCCTCGGCGCCGGGTCCACGCTCAGCCTCTGCGTCTGCGCTGGAGCCAACGTCGAGGTAGGTCGCGCATTCACTGCGCATGCTGACGAGCACAAAAGGAGACCTGCACGAGACCCGTACCGAGTCAACCCAGCTTGGGTGATTCGGGCCAAAGTGACTACCGAGAAGAATGAGCGAAAAGTACGGTGAAGATGGTCCGATGGCGTGCGCTGCGACGTTCCCTGGAAGTGCCGCGCTTTCAAAACAACTCGATGGCAGAAGCACTTTACGAGCGAGCAGTTCTCGTCGAATCATGAGGACCAATGGAAGAAGTCGGGAAATAAGCAGTCCATAAGCATGGCCGCACTTTCGCTACACATTTCACCACACAGTCGTTCCAAAAGGGCAGGGGGCGGCGGTGATGCGCCAAGGGTATCTTCGATAGACTCATCTTACCAAGCATGTCAAGGTACGCATTGTAAGACGCATACGCTGTATTAAGCGAGTTGTGTGGTGCGCGTTTACTCCACAGTGTAACCAAAAGACCCCGAAAGCCCAAGAGGGCACAGAAGCTTCCAAAAGGAGCCCAAGAGGGCCTCTGGAAAGCCTCAAGACGACCGAGAAGGTCGTCCAGATGCCCCTAGAGTGCACGAGCATCAAGACATCCCCAGAGGCTTCCAAGAATGACGCAAACGGCACCAAGGTGCCCCAAGAAGCCTCAGTCCTACCAGCCTTCTGCGCGTGAGTGGTAAAACAAGCTCGCATGACTCCCCTTCGGGGAAGGGTGTCCCCCTCCCCTCCCCCATCCCCCCTCCCCCTGGGTCTGGAGGAGGCGTTCCGCGAGGGGCTGGAGCGTCCAAGATGACCCAAGATGGCCCCAACAGGGGCCCAGAGAGCCCAAGATGGTCTGCGAGATCGCTCAAGATGGCCCAAGATGATTCAGGATAGTTTCCAATACCCTTCAAGACCGACACAGAACGGCTCACAGCGCCCGCCGAGCCTCCCAAAAAGCCCCCCAAAGGCCAAGATTCGTCCAAAACACAGGGACACTCAGTGATTGCCGCTCTCTCGCTACATCGCTTCCGTCGGGCTCTTGAGGCCTCTAGGTGGGTCCAATATAGCCCACGAGGGGCCCATGACACCAACAGCGCCCGAGACCGCCCCAAGAGCGCCCCAAAAGGACCCCAAAAGGCTATATGTATTGAGGGATCCGACGGGAGGGGCCTACTGCGGACCCCCCCCTTGACCGATTGACTCCAAGAAGGCCCAAGAGCAAGCCCACGAGACCCCCGAAGAGGGTCTCAAGACGGACCCAGGGGACCCCCGAGAGCGGTCCAAGAACGTTCATCAGGGCAAGTCGCCTGGTGTCTGCTGTTGGATGGGCTGGTGGAGGAACGACGTCTCAAGATGTTTTTACCCCCCCCCCCCCCGATGCCACAATATGACACCCAGAGGCTCAAACCCTCCAACAACGTAAGGTGTGTGAGAACCGCTTCAAAATGTGTGTTTCCCGAAATGGGCCGTCCCTTGGGGAGGAGCTCCGCGATGGTCCCAAGACTGCCCACGATGGCCCTGTCCCGTCAGGGCCCAATCCGGCCCGAGAAAGACCTGGGAGGGCCCCAAGCGGACGCGACGAGAACAAGAACTCAACGGGGTCCAGCGGGTCCAGACCCAACGAGATGAACCCTGCAAGAGTCAACAGCGGCTGAGGCGTAAGCCCAATGATTCCAAAGGTTAAAGCTCCCTGGTGGCGCGTCAGTTGCCCGATATGGAGAAGAGTGGGAAGAAGAAAGAGAATCAAAAAGTCACGCGTGAGCTTCGCAAGCCCCACATCGCAACCTGTACCAGTGCCCCGCACTTCTCGGGACATCTCGGTCGAAGTGGCGCGGCTCGAAGGCCTGGGCATCAGTGTATGAGCAAGGCCCCAAATTCGCAGCACTCGTCATGGTAGGCGGACCCATCTGGTCTCCATCAGCGCTGATCCCCTCGACGCAACCGTCTGGCGAAAAACTAGCTTCTCGGCATCATCGGTTGATTCGCCTCGGCGTATGGTTCTTGAGAGGGCCAGCTCTGACGGGTTCAGGATGAGTCAGCTCACGATGCTGAATGACCGCTGCCCACCGTGGGGCACTAGTGCAAGCTGGGGGCTGGCCGCGGCCGCGTTGGCAGCGGGGATGGCCTGCTTCGTCTCCATGAGCTGGGTGGTCAGATCCTTCTTATTCTCCTCCTCATTCTGCAAAGACTCCTCGCCCGTGGCCTCAAGGGAGGGCGGCACAGTAGTAAGAGTTGGAGGGAGATGGGCAAGGGCGAAAAATGTCAGATTGCCAGGAGGGAACATACATACTGATCGCTTGAAGGAGGGTATTGGTCACTGCTGCAACGTCGAGCACTGGTCCCTCGAACCCTGGCAGGTCGAGGATCGATATGGATTGCAACGTTTTTTCCTCCGCCGAAGTGTCTAATGACCACCCATCAATAGGATCCCGTGGACTGCGATACACGTGATACCGATGCGCGGATCGGATGAGTATAGCAAATGCAGGACGGCGACGGCACAAGAGATCGTGAGGGGCCCTCGGGAGCCTTTGCTCAGCAGTTTGTCGATGCGTGCTCTCAGCCAGTGGACTGCCCTCTGTACTCCAACCAAGTCTGGGGCTTCGTCCTTTGGAGCGGAGAAGCTCCCTGAATAGCGCGCCGCCTTCCTGCGCACTGCAACCTTCGCATCATCCACACACTGGAACCATCGCTCGCGCGTTTTCAGGGTCCACCTGTCCTGGACAGCGCAAAAAAGGGACCGTGACCGAATCAACGAAAGCCTTGGAGTTCGAAGGCAAGTCGTTGCTGAAAATGCGACTGCATTTGGTGATCGAAGTAAACTAAGGATGGTCCAAAGTTGAAGTATCAATAGGAATATGTATGTATATGTGTATATATATATACTAGCAAGCGTGGGCCCAAAACGATGTGTGTTGGTTTGACTACCTCTAAGCTGGAAGCCAGCTAGGTGGTATCATCCCGCCAACAACACGCGCCGGCTGCAATCTACGCGGTGCATTCTAGGTGATGCAATCAGTGTGGTGCAGTCCAGGTGGCGCAATCTATGTGGTGCAAACCACTCTGCTGCACTTGAAGTCGTCATCTCCACTGCTCGCGCAAACATCCCACCCACCCACCCACCCGCAACTTGGTTTGCAAAACTTAAGACCGACTACGACGACACCGACGACAACGACTACGACGACACCGACGACGTCTCCGACGACTTCGACGACGACAACGACGCCGACGCCGACGCCGACGACGACGACGACGACGACGCCAACGAAGGCGACGACGAGGGAGGAGGAAGGACGACGACGGCGACAACGACGACAACGACGACAACGACGACAACGACGAGGGAGGAGGGAGGACGGCGACGACGCGAACGACGAAGGAGGAAGGACGGCGACGCCGACAACGACAACGACGAGAGAGGAGGGAAGACGACGACGACAACGACGACGACGACGACGACGACGACGGCGACGAAATAGGAGGGACGACGACAAGACGCCGACGACGGACGACGACGACGATGAGGGAGGAGAAGGAAGGACGACCACGGCGACAACGACGACGGAAACGACCACGACGCCAAAGAGGACGATGACGACGAACACGAGGAAAGACAGAGGACGACGTAGGCGACGACCTCTACGACGACGCGGGAAGAGGGAGGACGGCGACGACGACGACGACGACGACGACGACGACGCAAGAGCACGCGCGCACACTTTTGTCGAAAATCCGTGTTGCGAAACCTTGGTTTTTGTAGGTTTTTTGGACACACGATTTTGAAATCCTTCCGAAACCGATGGGTTTTGAAGGATTTCGGCATACGCGCGCGACGACGTGCGCGTCTGCATTTCGTCCCAGTTTTTTGCAGAGGATTCTCGCGACGGCACACGCGCAAAGGCGTTCGACAGATTTCGACATGCGCGCGCGAAGCCCGTTTGGTAGCATGTTGTGAAAATCTTGAAAAACCTATGGTTTTCTTAGGATTTCGCAAGAGCTCGCGCGGAAGCTGTTTTAGCAAATCAGTGTTGCGAAACCCTGTGTTTTTATGTTTTTTGGAGACTCGATTGCGAAATCCTTCCGGCACCGAGGGTTTTTGAAGGATTTCGGCATGCGCGCGCGACGACGCGCGCGTGTGCACTTCGTCCCATTTGTTTTGCAAGGGATTCGTGAAAAAGTGCGATGTAAGAACAAAACATGTCACCGCAGGGACCCTCAGGGGGGGATACCATCCCCCCGGGGATAGTGCAAGTTTATATTTAGGATGGACATGTGGTCAGAATCATATGTGATTTACATACCCGAAAGGGGACCGATAACGCCGGGGGGGTAGATCTTATTCTGTTTTTAGAAAGGAGAACATATGTGGCGCAAAGCACTGCAAAGCAACGCGAAGCATTTCAAAACAATGCAACGCAATACAACGAAGTGCGAAGCAATGCAAAGAAATCCAAAGCAATGCAGAGCAATGGGCAATGCGAAGCGATGCGAAGTGATGCGAAGCCATGCAAAGCAAAGCAAAGCAACGCAACGCAAATAAATTGCAAAAAAGCAAAGCAATAGAAAGCAATGCAAATCAATCGAACAAATGCAAGGCAATGCGAAGGAATGAAAAACAATGCGAAGCTATGCACAAAAACGCAAAGCAACGCAACATAAACGCAAAGCATCGCAGAGCAACACAACGCGGTGCGATTGCAAGGCAATGCAGCGTGATTGCCATGCGATGGGAGTGCAGAGTAGTGCTAGACAGTGCAACGCAGTGCGATTGCAGTGCAACGCAGTGCTATTGCAACGCAGTGCGACTGCAGTGCAAAGGAAGGGGGGAGGGGGGTGCAACGGGTACAGGGCCGCCAGGCAGACAAGCGGGCCTTCTGTTCGGCAAGGCGGTGCGGCGACTGACGGGCACGGGGCCGCCCGGGCCGCACACGGGCCAAGTTTTGGAGGCCTAGAAATGGGCACCCACACCAACACAGGGGGTTGCCTCCTCATGGGGAAGATGATCCTAGATTTCGGTGTTGGTGGTAATATTTCGGTCACCTTGGAAGCCAGAATATTACCACCATCACAGAGCTCAGGATCTTCTTCCCTCAGTAGAGGCACACCGCCGATATTGGTGTTGGTGTGAACCTCTAGGCCTGCAAAAGCTCTTGAGAAGAGAAGCAATCACCCCAAAGTGCAAGCGCTGCTGAGGGGAACATGCGTGCAAGCTGTCCACGAACGCAACCAGCCCCCTGGGAGCAGATGATTTTACAAGAGGGAAGCTCGTCCGACATCGTTCTTCCCGCCAGGTATGGATGTCCTTGCCTGTGGACTCCCTTCCCAGGGTCCCCCCGCGCGCGCCAAAGGATTCAAGGCCGACTTCTAGCCCATGCGGAAGGCCGCTGCGACTGCCTCGAACCAAAACGACTCGAGCCAATGGCTTGGGCCGAACGGATACTGAAACGAACACACACACACACACACACACACACACACACACACACAACACACACACACACACACACACACACACACACACACACACACGCACGCACGCACGCACGCACGCACGCACACACACACACGCACGCACGCACGCACGCACGCATTCACGCACACATGCACACACACACACGCACACACACGCACACACACACACACTCGCACACTTTTGGGGGGGGGCGTTGCGGGTGGGCGACTCGCCACACCGCTGGGCGCGCGACCGGCGGCCGAGCGCGCAGCAGTCGGAAGAGAAGAAAGAGAAGCGAGAAGATGCGGGGATACGGGCACACACACACACACACACTTTGCCCCGCGGCCTCGCGAGCAGCAACAAGGCGGAGAACGTCAAGCGCAGCAGCCGTGCCCTGGGCGCGCGCTGGCCTCCGAGGGGCCGCGCACGTGCCATCCTGGCACGGATGGCGGGGACAGAGGGGGAGGACGGAACCGACCACCGACCAGTGGAGCGTCCCGCGCGGAAGGCGCCATAGGCGACTCGACAGGCGACACGACAGGCGGGCGAACCATTGGCGGGCAGCCGGGGAGCGAACGAGCGACACTCGAGAGCGAGGGAGGGCGCAAGTGGGTCGAGAAGGCAAAATGCCATGGCACACTCTCGGCGCCCTGACTTGGGGAGCCCGTGGGGCTGCGCGAGCTCGCGGAGCCCCCAGCCAGAGCGGCAGGGGTGCCTCCCCCCGCCTGGAGAGGCCTCGCCGGGCGGGCAGGCGGCAGGCCAGGGCGGGGCGGGGGGGCCCGGCCGCGGGCCGCGCGAGGCGGCCCCGGCCCCTCCCGAGCCAGAGCAGCCTCGACAGACAGGCGCGTTCCGCGACTCGCGGAGCAACTGCTCGCAAGTGGCCTGGGTCTGCCACGGGGGACTTCAGGATTTGTTGCGCCGAAGCAAACCCTTGTGCTTCGGACGTTTGCGAGCGGGCACTTTGCGAGCACCTGCGCGGTGGGGACGACTGGGTTGGCTTTCAGAAGCTCTGCGTGGCGACGCCCCGGCCGACACTCAGGCCCTCTGCGTGCCTGTGGGACTTGAGCCAGAGGCTCGAGCCAGAGGCTTGGGCCAGAGGCTTGGACCAGAGTGGTCGCCGGGCATGCGCACTTTGCGTCGCAGCGCGGCAGAGGCAGGCCGCACGCGCGCTCGGGCAGGCCAGGCGACGGCGTCGCTGGTTGTCTGGCGGTAAGAGCGGGAAGAAGGGGCAAGGAGGAAGCGGCCGCGGGGCGGGGAGGGGAGGAGGAGGAGGAAGAGGAGGAGGAGGAGGACGAGGAGGAGGAGGAGGCGGAGAAGGAGGAGGAGCAGGAGGAGGAAGAGGAGGGAGGAGGAGGAGGAGGAGGAGGAGGAGGAGGAGGAGGAGGAGGAGAAGGGGCAAGGGGGAGGGCGCTCGCGGAGCAGACATACGCGCACACACCAGAGAAATCCGCACAGCTGGTGAGCCTTCGCGGCCGACTTCTCGACCACCGCCTGGGTGTCCGCAGCGCGCTTAGCGGCCGCATCGGCCATCAAGGTCTCGTAGTCGGCCTCGCGCGCGGCCAGACCCTACGCTGTGCGCAAAGAGGAAGTGTTTTATATATATGTATATATATATATATTCGCATACATGTATATAGATGTGCGTGTACAGAGAGAGACATAGAGATAACAATAACAAAATTAAAGAGATAGAGAGAGAAAGAAAAAAGAGAGAGAGAGAGCGGGAGACGCGTGAGGAAGAGAGAGGGAGAGAGAGGAAAAAAGAAAGAGCAAGAAAACTATTACGAGAGAGAGATGCATAGAGATGGGTATAGTTGTTGCTGCAGAGAGTGGTATGGATATACGTGTATATAATCATACAATTATATACATTTGTATGTGTGCATATATATATGCATATACGTTAGCTACATATAAAGTACATGTACCATTGCATATACACATACCTATACGCATGCATATACCAGTACTTATTCATATACATACACTTACTCCTATGCATAAACCTATACATATGCATAAACATATACATATACCTATATATACACCTAAACCTATACAAATTCATATGCATGTCCAGATACAAATACAAACACACACAAAAAAACAAGAAAACAAAAAAATGTGCACATATACATAAACATACACATACGTATGCATGTATACGTACATGCACGCATGCATACATGCATGCATATATGCATACATGCATGCATACATACATACACGCATGCATTCATGCATGCATGCAAACATACATGCATACATACATGCATGCATGCGTGCATACATACATATGTGCATGCATGGATGCATAAATACCTTCATTCATATATCATACAAACATACAGAGATATCTACATGCATGCATACATACGTACATCCATACGTACAGACGCGCATACCTACATGCATGCATGCATGCATGCATACATACATGTATACATACATGTATACATACGTGCATACACGCATACACCCATAGACCTATAAGACCACCCTTCGGGTGATAAGGAGGTTCGGGGGGGAAAGGAACCAACGTCTCCCTCGATCGGTCTCACTATCGATCTCACTATCGATCTCACTATCGATCTCACTATCGGTCTCCCTCGATCGATCTCACCCGATCTCACAATCGATCTCATTCGATCTATTTCATTCGATCGATCTCACCATCGATCTGACTATCGATCTCACAATCGATCTCACTATCGATCCCACAATCGATCTCACAATCTATCTCACATTCGGTCTCACTGTCGATCTCACTATCGATGACACAATCGATCGCACAATCAACGTCATCATCATCATCAACATCATCGTCACCAACGTCATCAACGTTATCATCATCATCAGCAGCAGCATCATCATCATCGGGGCACCATCATCACCATCACCTCATTACCATCATCATCAGCATCATCATCATCATCCTCACCATCATCATCATCGGGACACCATCATCATCATCATCATCATCAACATCATCATGACCACCATCGGGACACCATCATCATCATCATCCTCGGAACACCCCCATCATCATCATCTCATCATCATCATCATGAACAACATCATCAAGATCACCATCGGGACACCATCATCATCATCATCATCATCATCATCATCATCATCATCACCATCATCATCACCATCGTCGGGACACCATCATCATCGTCACCATCATCACCATCACCATCATCATCATCATCGGCACACCATCATCATCATCAACATCAGCACCACCATCATCGGGCCACCATCATCAAAATCATCATCACCACCTCATCATCATCCTCATCATCATCATCATCGGGACATCATCATCGTCATCATCCACCTCATCATCATCATCGGATGACCATCCTCATCATCATCATCATCATCAGCATCATCATAAGCCTCATCATCATCATCGGAACACCATCATCATCATCATCCTCATCATCATCTTCATCATCACCACCATCTCATCATCATCAACATCATCAGGATCATCAACAGCATCATCATCATCGGGGCACCATCATCATCATCATCATCATCATCATCATCATCATGATCATCATCAGCAACATCAGCATCATCAACATCATCATCATCATCATCATCATCATCATCATCATCATCATCATCATCATCATCATCATCGGGACACCATCGTCATCACCACCATCGTCACCATCATCATCATCATCAACATCATCATCAAAATCACCATCATCATCATCGGAACACCACCACCATCATCACCATCATCACCTCATCATCATCATGAACAACATCATGAACATCATCATCATCATAGGGACACCACCATCATCTTCATCATCAGCAACATCATCATCAACATCATCATCGGGACACCATCATCACCGTCACCATCATCATCATCACCATCATCATCGGCACACCACCATCATCACCAACAACAGCATCATCATCGGGCCACCATCATCAAGATCACCATCATCACCTCATCATCATCCTCATCATCAAAATCATCATCATCATCATCGGGACACCATCGTCGTCATCACCATCATCAACAACATCATCATCATCACCATCGGGACACCATCGTCATCATCATCATCATCATTCACAGCATCATCATCAACCTCATCATCATCATCATCATCATCATCATCATCATCATCATCATCATCATCATCGGGACACCATCATCATCATCATCCCATCATCTCATGATGATCTACATCATCAGGATCATCAACATCATCATCATCATCATCATCATCAACATCATCATCATCATCATCATCATCATCATCATCATCATCATCATCATCATCATCATCATCATCATCGGGACACCATCATCATCTTCATCAGCAACTTCACCATCATCAACATCATCATCATCGGGACGCCATCATCATCACCACCATGGCCATCATCATCATCATCATCATCAACATCGTCGTCATCATCATCTTCATCATCATCCCATCATCTCATCATCATCTACATCATCAGGATCATCAACATCATGATCATCATGATCATCATCATCATCATCATCATCATCATCATCATCATCATCATCATCATCATCATCATCATCATCATCATCATCATCGGGACACCGACGGGACCCCGGCGGGACACCAGCGGGACACCGCGCGCCACCGGGCCCCGGACAGGAAACATTTGGTCTGGCCGCGCCTCAACCAGAGGCGGGACACTTCTCGCCCGCCCACGCAGCTTCGCCTCGCCCGCACGCACTGCACGCACGAACACGAAACCGAAACCGATTTCCCAGTAGGGGGGCTCTCCGTTCCACTTCGATCTCACCCCCCTCACCTCCGATACAGATATAGATGCATGCGTACAGACCTACATACATCCATATATAAATACATACATACGTACGTGCATGCATGCATAGATGCAAACATACATGTATATATACATGCATATATTATATATACATGTATATATGTATGTATGGTTGCATGTGTATATATGTACATGTTTACATGCATACATACTTATACATGTATGCCGACATGCATGTATACGTACATGCGTGCGCACACACACATATCTATATATTATATACACAAATGCATGCATGCATACAGACGTTCGTAGAAATACATATACGTACGCATGTGCATGCACCTGTACATCCACATCTACATATATATATAGATGTATGATATGTGTATATAGACAACTATGCATATACATTTAGAGAGAGGGGCTGGAAACTAATGCAGGGGATGTATCGGCCATCGTGCTGTAGGCACCGAGTGGGGTATCTTGAGGTCCCTCTGAGTCTTCTGAATTCAGAATAACTGTTCAGAATGGCCCAGGCCCCGAAAAGCCAGATGTCTAAGGACCTCCGCGTGACGTTCGGGGCTGGCCGCGTGATTCTCCCGCGAAGGCCACACAGAGGTCCCACGAGGCCCATGACGGTCCAAGAACGCCGCGGGGCCCTCTTGGGCGCATCTTGAGCTGTGTTCGAGGCCCTGGGGGCCAGCCCAAGAGGCGAGAATCCATTTGCAGTGGATGCCCGGCCGCAAGAAACAGTCCACAAGAAACCCAACCCTAAGACCCCAGGGCGTCAATTCGTTTTTAATGTGTGAACGTCACGCTTTCCATCGCAAGACCATCGAAACCCAAGAGACCCAGGGCACCCTGGAAGCAAGCAGGGTGTTTCTTGGCATGGGTCTACACTGTACGTCGTTGCATGATTGAAACACCCAGCTTTTCAGTCTGAAGAGCGCCCCAGAGGGGCCAAGAGACCCTCGGCGTCGCCGCAGGGCGACCAAGAGGCTGCCAAGAGGGCCCTGGACGGCCCCAAGAGAGGTCCCAGCGAAGAACTCGAACTGACATTTCGAGATTCCCACCCGAAGATGGCCTCCGAGATCGCCAGGACGCCCCCAAGAGGCCCCCCGAGAGGCCCCCGTGAAGCCCCCAGGAGACCTCCTAAGAGGCCCTGGACAGCCCTCCAGGAGGCGTCGCAAGAGACATGCAGGAAGCCCCACGTCCACAACCCGAGCACGGCGGCGGATCTGGCCGAAGGCCACTAGATCCGCCGCCCCTTTTTGCTTCAGCAAAGGGGTGCCCGGCGTGCCAAACCCTATCGGTTTTGGTCTTGGTTCTTTTTCCAAAAGAACTCTCCCAGTGGGTTTCCGCCCGTCCCGCCAGGGTCCCGGGATTTTTTCCACGGACCTCACTTCCCCAATTTTCTGCCCAAGACGGCTCCACGATGGCCTCCAAGATGGCCCAAGATGGCCCAAGAGGTCCTCCAGGAGGGCCCGAAGAGGCCAAAATCATTGTTTTTCCTTCGGTTTCTGAAGGATTTCGGAATTTGCTTCTTCTCGGCATTCCGGCGGCTCCAAACGGCCCAAGAAGCCCTCAAAATCGCCCAAGAGGCCCCCAAGAGATCCCCATGACGGCCCAAGTGGCCTCCAAGATGGCCCCAAGAAGGCCCCAAGACGGCCCAAGAGGCCTCCAACACGCCCAAGATGGCCTCCAAGACGCCCAAGATGGCCTCCAAGACGGCCCCGAAG